TCTGGGAACATAAAAAACAAACCCTAAAAATTTGTTAAACATTGCATTTGGGCCTTCGCCCAACAAAACTCACAGAAGCCTAATATTTCTGGCGCATACCCCCTTCCCCTGAATTTTGTTCTTTTTATTTTTTAGGCCCAAACCCATTCAAAGCTTCATTTCAAAAATCTTTTTATTAACTTAATAATTTTTGCTAACTAACCTTAATTAGTTTTTTTTTCCTTTTTAGTTAATAACACTAATTAAATTTTGTTCATTTTTTTTAGAGATAATTATCTCTTTATTAATATTGATTAATATCATTAAAACATCAAGAAATATAGTTTAGTTTAATTTAATTAATCTTGTTTTCCTTTAATAACATGAAAATAATAGAATTTTTTAAACATAAATAATTATTTCTTTTTTCTTTAAAAACCTTTTGTTTATATATAACTAACAAAAACACAAAAATAATAAAAAGCACTTAATTTTCATTAGTTTAATATTTCATTTGATTATTTGTAAATAACCACATACAACACTTTTGATTCTCTTTAATTCTTATATCTTGTTATATTTCTTTTACATTGAGAATGCGACAAGTTCGATTTGGTTGTAATACATACTTGGACATTACTATTCTGATAAGACTCATCCCCATTTGTAAATATTTGTACCCCCATCCCCGGATACTTATTTGTAATAACTTAGACTTTAAATTCCCACAATTTATCGCTTTCCATATACTGTATAGTAATTAGGGTTTGTATGCAAAGATTCAAAATCAACCGCTAGATAACCTAATACAAGATAAATGCATGAAAATCAATACATAGTCCACAGTTGCACCTATAGGGTAACCTCGCTTAGTGCCTCGAAAAATGCAATCATGTCCCTCGAGTATGAGACACTCTAGCAAATGTCCCTTCGATAAACAAAGATCGTAGTCCCTCGATGACCCTCGACGTTGCCTTTGATAAAACGATCTCGTCCCTTACAAAATTGTTAGAGCGTCTCACAAGTTGCCTTCAATGATTGTATACGATGACCCGCGCCTGTCCCGTTTAACATCCTAACGCAAGGTTGTTCATCAAACACAATGGTGATGAAATAACACTATTAAAAGGGTTAAAAACATGAGAAAGATCTTTGAGTAAGATAGGGTAGACAACTCTTAGTTACTTGATCAAAAATCTTGCAAAAACATCCTTGCCATTTTTCAAACACACTTCATAACACAACTTCAAAATAATTTCAAAACAACTTTCAAAACATTGAATTATCTTTTCAAAAAGACACACACCTTTGTATATATTCAAACAAGAATCATTACAAAGGTTGCCCAGACAAGGCATCTTTTTCAAAACATTTTTTAAAACCACACACACAAAGCACCATTTCAAACAATTGAAAAGCAAAGGCAAGTGATCTAAAACAAGTAACTAAGAGCCCATGGATAACCATGGATGAAAAGGGTGCTAGCACCTTCCCTTTTCATAATCTACCCCCCGAACCCACGAAAACATCTCAAAGGTCTTTCCTGTGCTTTTTGACCTTTCCTTAGGATAAAATAAAAAGTCGGTGGCGACTCTTGCTAAACCGAATAAGTGCGAAAACAAACGCAAAACCCCAAGTCAGTTCTCCCACCGTATCACAATTGGTACCTTAACTCTTTAAAAGATACCATGTTGGTCCTTTTTTGTAATTAGTGACGGAAAAATTCAAAAACTTATCGCTAAATTCGTTGATATTTTGACGAAAAGGACTAACATGATACATTTTGAATAATTAAGGGATCAATATGACCCTTTTTAAAGTTAAGGACCAAAAGGAACCTCGTGGTTAAGATATTGGACTAACATTTAGGAATGATCATAATCCTTTTTTTTTAGAATCACTAAGGTTCATCCTTATTTGATAGTGACCTGAGTAGGTGACCATGAAGGTCAAAACCCCAAAACCTGAGGCCCTATCATCAGCATGTTGATGTTCGATAACATGTATAGGTCCTAGTAACATGCTTGATTAAGGTCAATGAAATCTACACACATGAGTCACTTGACTGATGTCTTATTCACCATCAATATGTTAGCTAACAGGTTTAGGTATTTGATATCTCGTATAAATTCGCCATCCATCAACTAAGGAAGATAATCACTCCTTTGTCTTATCTCTCTTTATGCTTCCTCTAGGTGACAAACTCGAAACTGGGCTTGATAGTGAGATAATGGCATACTACGTCGGAGTCCATTATGGGCATATGAGATGGTGTGCGTGCGAATAGATCTATATTATTATAAAGTAGTTGGATAACATCGTTTTATTCATATGTGGTTAATGGCATCCCTATCTGAGTAGTTTGATGATTTTAAGGAACTATTTGTATCGCTTTCAACTCCTTCATTAGTGTCAACTTCTTTTTCTAGGGAATCGAACCTAAGGTCTATATCAACAAAGTTGACCTCGTGGATGTTATGTGATGGGGTCCTCTCCCCTATTATTTTAAGCCTTAGGCTATTATAATAACATTTTCTTGCCACTCCTTTATCGTCTATATCCATCCACACCCACTTGTTGTCCATGGGTATTTCATTATCAAATAGAAGGTAGAGAGAAAAACTCTCAATAAATTGAAAGTAGACAATCGATGATGATATTATATGAGGAATGGGCGTTCAACACCAAGTATATTACTTCTACGACCTTGGATTTACTCCCCACTATGAAGGTCATCAATATTGGGATATATCCTTAGACCTACACCTGGTCCCCCAATAAACTTACCAGCGAACCTCTTAATAGTTGTAGGAGATTGGATATTCATCTTTAAACCCTCAAATGCATCCTAGTAGAGGACATCAACCGGGTTGTGGGGGTCTGTTAGGACTTTCTTGACATTCTAACTTTGCATATATAATATAATTACCATGGGATCATTGTTTGTGAGGCATGACTCCCTTTTGTCTTTGTTAGAAAAAATTAACTTCTAGCAAGGTAACTATTCTTTTTACAGGCATATGCTGACGATATGCATTCCTTAGTGAGCATATCTCTTTCTTGACAAGCCAAACACTTTACCTTCAATGAAACTTCTCGCAATTATTTTTAAAGTGTGAGTTATTTGGCAATGGTCACGTCTTTCTCTCCGACTCTTACTCCTTTTAGGCGGGGGTGTTCTCTAGTGGTTTTCCCTCATATATAATGTTTTTCTATCTAAACTCTGGGAACTACCCCATGCATATCTCTCTAGGCGGACTTCATGGATTATCTTTTCAATCTATCTTTTCAGGTGGTGACAATCATTTGTATGGTGACCATGTATCTTATGATACTTGTATCACCTCTCTAAAATGCTCTCCATCATATCTCCCTTGGGGGGGGGGGGGGTCAAGAAAGACCTTGGTTATGTAGACATCTTTGAGGATTTACACTCTCATCGTGTTTAGTGGGATGATATGCTCTAATGGCCTCGTGACAGGCTTGAATGCAACTTTCTCTCGAACAAGTATCGTGTTTTGGTTCATTCGTTGGCCAAATACTTTAGATTCTTCTCCACCCTATTCTTGCATACCATGTTCTCTTTTTGGCCCTACTTTATTCCCATTTGATATAACATTCCACTATCGTTGCAATTTCTTCTATCAAGGCTACCGACTTTTAAACTAAGGGCTCGTTGAAGTGACCGACCTTAAGGAAACTATGGAAAGCTCTGGCGAACATATCTTGGCGTCTCCTCATTGAATCTAGCCAAATACTCACACATGGACTCAAAATAATATTACCGAACATTGAACAAGCTCGTCGTATAAACCTTTATGTTCATGCTAGCTGAGAAGTGGTGAACCCTATTTCTTGTCAGATCATGGTAACTCAACATCGAGAACCTCACAAGGCTTATATACCACTGAATGTCAACTTCCTTCAACGCACAAACCATTAATTTTCACTTCAGCGAGTCATCCACCTCGATACTAGACATATGGGTGTTGGAAATAATTATATGCTATTGAGAATCGTTCTTGTTGTCAAATGATATCAGGGATGATGGTTTGAAATTATTGGGGGACTAAAGTGTCCTAAATATTCACAATGAGTGATTGGGGATCTATGGACTCCTTTTCCTCGATCAACTATGGCTTTGCATGCTACTATTGTTGTATGTCACAAACACTCTCTTGTAATACTTTGTTCTGGCAACACAACACATCCACAACAGTTAGCATATTCGCTATGATTGATCGATCTTATTATTGACACTAGTGGCAACCCTCGTCATTTTAAGATGAGATCAAATTACTGTTGCGATCGGTATGTGTGGCCTAGATCAATTATATATATATATATATATATATATATATATATATATATATATATATATATATATATATATATATATATATATATATATATATATATATATAATTATTTGCTTAATTTAATTACAATTATTAAATTTATTTTAACCACAATCTATAAATTATAATGAAGTAAATTGAGTCAGAAAACATACTTTATATAAGCTTAACATAATAATATAAATAATTATAAGAATACTTACATGATATTCTACTACTAATTTCTAATTTCATGATGTTTTACCTTTCCTTTTCATGTTTTTCATTAGTCTCTATAAAGATGCTATGCAATTTTTTTAATTGAGTTCGGGTTTTGAATGCAATTATAAAATAATTTTGCTTAATAAGATATGTGTGGATGTTTTTTAATTTTTATATATTATCAACATATACATTATGACTGAAAAAAAAGAAAGCCCATATCCCCAAAATAAGACATTATGACTGAAAAAAAAGAAAGCCCATATCCCCAAAATAATAAACCAATAAAAACACGAAGCACAAACCGGACCCGGTCGCAATAGACCAAAGCATATTCCCGCCACATTGCAAATCGCTTTCCCGCCAAAACCATGCCCTAAAACTGAAAAAAATCACTAGAGTAGAACCACAACACTCATTTTTCTTCCTCCGTCGTCACACTCTCTCTCTCTCTCTGCGAAAATGGATCTTAGCGAAGAAGTTAGGCAAGCTCACAAGCGAGAGTTCGCCGATTTCCTGGACCAAGATGTAACTATTCATCACTTCTCTTTTATTATAATCACTTTTCTTCTTCTTCATTTGAATCAGTTTCGATTTTGTGTTGAATCAGATCGGAAAGAGCATTTACATGGACGCAATCAAAGCTCTAATCAACCACAAGCGCCGTCGTCTCATCGTCAACATCTCTGATCTCCACAACTACCAGGATTTGGGTAACAGGTCAGTAACCGCTATTACGTCTTTTTGTGCTTTTATTTGTAAAATTTGAATGGTTAGGGTTAATTTCTGTGAGATTTTGGTGTTTTTCAGGATTCTGAGAAATCCGAGTGAGTATATGCAGTCATTCTGTGATGCGGTGACTGATGCTGCTCGTGCTATTGATCCAAAGTATTTGAAGGAAGGGGAACAGGTTCTTGTGGGACTTGAAGGCCCTTTTGTTTCTCGCAGGGTTACTCCTAGGGATCTTCTTTCTGAATTCATAGGTTCTATGGTTTGTGTTGAGGGCATTATCACCAAATGTAAGTAAAATTGTTTTCACTTTTTTACTTTCACCTGAGTTAGTATATGATTCAATGTATGTAGTTAGTTTTTGATGAGAAAATGGTGGAGAAGTAACAGATTTATGCTTACTAGGGTTTTCTGGAACTTATGTGTTTATCAAATGTTCTCTTATCCAATTGCTATTTGATTAGGTTTAATTAGTAGCTTGGTTAATATTTTGTTTTCAGTGGTAATTGCTCTTTCTTTACTTTGAAATTGATGGTGTGTGTTTTTCTGTTCAAGGGTATCAGCTTTACCTTTTGTTTTGGTCACTGGTTAATGGTGTGGAGCTGTATTGTTAACAATAACTTATGTTTAACTTTATATTTTTTGAAACTGTGTTGATTATAATTGCAATGTATATCACACTTGAATGATATTAAACAATTATCCAAATCCCAGTTGCAAAATATTGCAATAGTTTTTCATTTTTTTGAAATTATATCTCAAATTTAGTTATCAAGATTAATAACATAGCAAACATCTGCAGGTATTAGTACGGCTGAGTATAAAGTGGTTATAGTTTTACTCATTTTCATGAAATTAGGTAGATTATTACTGCTTATAATTGTATCTAGACCCATTTGATGAGTAAATGTACCTGATATGGGTGGTTTTTGTGTGTCGATTGAGTTTTTGCCCTGATTTTTATTTTAACGGGTTCTTGGGTGGCATGTTATGAATTGTGCTAGAGGATAATGGTAATATATAGGTAATTTTCTGATTAAAAATCATGTAATATCTCTTTTAAGCTACAGTTCTATTTTTAGGTTGTTCTTTTTCTCTTTCATATCCCTTTCATACAGATTTTAATTTCAACAGAAAATTCAAAGAAATCTACAAGTGCTAACAGATACTTTGGTCCATGCATCCTGGAATCTAACCCTTTGTTGTTGTTTATAGGTTCTCTTGTAAGGCCAAAGGTTGTTAAAAGTGTTCATTTCTGCCCAACCACTGGTAGCTTCACGCACCGTGATTATCGAGATATTACATCTAATTTGGGTTTGCCCACTGGGTCTGTGTATCCCACAAGGGTAATCTCAAGATCCTTGATTTCTAGCATTATTTTTATTACCAAAGGATAATATTTACTAACTAAATGTTTGTTGTAGGATGAAAATGGCAACTTACTTGTGACTGAGTATGGGCTGTGCAAATACAAGGATCATCAAACTTTGTCCATGCAGGAAGTCCCTGAAAATTCTGCGCCTGGTCAGCTCCCAAGAACAGTGGATGTCATAGCAGAGGACGACCTTGTTGATTCTTGCAAGCCTGGGGATCGTGTGGCTGTTGTTGGGATATATAAGGCTCTTCCAGGAAAAAGCAAAGGCAGTGTTAATGGTGTATTCAGGTAGCTTTAGAAAATAAATTAGACAAATTACCTTGCTCTTGCTTTATTGAACAGAAATTTAATTGATTGGTGTGCATGCAGGACTGTGCTCATAGCCAACAATGTAGCTCTTCTCAATAAAGAAGCTAATGCTCCAATCTACAGCCCTGATGACCTTAAAGAGATAAAAAAGATAGCTGAAAGAGAGGATACATTTGACTTGCTTGGTAATTCACTTGCCCCTTCCATACATGGACATGCTTGGATAAAGAAAGCAGTGATTTTATTGATGCTTAGTGGAGTGGAGAAGAACTTAAAGAATGGCACTCATTTGAGAGGGTTGGTGCTTTCTCCTTATATTCCTGTGTTTTGTTGGGAGATGGTATTATTGAAAATTCTTGTCATTCATATATCTTAATTTTGTTGACGAAAGTTTTTAATACTGATCTGCATTCTTCTTATAGTGACATTAACATGATGATGGTTGGTGATCCCTCTGTTGCCAAGTCCCAACTTTTGAGAGCAATTATGAATATTGCCCCCTTGGCCATATCAACTACAGGTCGGGGTTCTTCTGGGGTTGGTTTGACAGCAGCGGTTACTTCAGATCAAGAAACAGGTAAGACATTCTTCAAGAGACTTGTGTAATTCTTGTATGACATTTGTCATCTAAAGAAAGATTGGAATTTCCTTCTGTCAGGAGAAAGAAGGCTAGAAGCTGGGGCAATGGTTCTTGCTGACAGAGGTGTTGTCTGCATTGATGAATTTGACAAAATGAATGACCAAGATCGTGTAGCTATACACGAAGTTATGGAACAGCAGACTGTAACTATTGCTAAGGCTGGGATCCATGCATCGCTTAATGCTCGTTGCAGTGTGGTGGCGGCTGCAAATCCCATATATGGAACTGTAAGTGGCATTCTGCTATTGTAGTTCTGTTAAGTTTTAATAATAAAAGTTACTAATATTCTACCGTACCTTTTAACTCTTTCAAATTTGACTGACTTTTGTCATTTGATTCTACAGTATGATCGTTCACTGACTCCAACTAAAAATATTGGACTCCCAGACTCCTTGCTTTCTCGATTTGATTTGTTGTTTATTGTGTTGGATCAAATGGATCCTGATATTGATCGCCAAATATCAGAGCATGTCCTGCGAATGCATCGATTTCGTTCTGCCATTGATGGAGGTAATTAAGCAGTTTTTAGAAAATGCTAGAAACATGCATTCACTAAAGAATTCTGATTAACTTACTAATGCAGGTGAGGCTGCACATGATGGGAGTGCAAGATATGGACGAGAAGAGGAAGCTGATACTGAGACATCTGTCTTTGTCAAATATAACAGAATGCTACATGGAAAGAAAACTGATAGAGGTCGCAAGCGCGATACACTTACAATTAAGTTTCTTAAAAAGTATATCCATTATGCCAAGCATAGGATTCAACCGGACTTGACTGATGAGGTGATGTTACTAAGAGAAATATCATTCTTTTCTTGATTTATAATTATTTCCCTCTAAAGTTCTGCAATTTATCCTCTGTAAGGAACTTATGGATCTTTCTGTAATTGCCACACCCGAGAATGGCTCTTATGAAGTCTGATTTTCTAATGATTTTTAAGCTCTTGTTCATATTCCTTATATCAATTAAATTTTTCCACAGGCATCTGACCAGATTGCCACAGCATATGCTGAGCTCAGAAATGCGAATTCTAGTGCAAAGGTTAGCATTAGTAACACAATTAGCTGGAAGCATATCAATAGGTGTACATATTGGGTTTTTATTGATATCTTGCTGGCTTTATGCAGACTGGAGGAACACTTCCTATAACTGCCAGAACTTTAGAAACCATAATACGTCTCTCAACTGCTCATGCCAAATTGAAGTTGAGCAGAAAGGTACAGTACTATATTTGTTACTTACTAATATCATTATTCATGAGATACATGTCCATTTTTTAAAACAATAACATGTCCATATGCCATTTTCAAATTAACTTCTCAGTTTTTTTTAATTTCATTTGTGTTGGAATACCTATCCAAAGTTTCTTTTGGGGCTTGGTATTTTGCAGTCCTAATGTGGTTTGCCACTTTGGTTCTTGGGAAAAGATGTCATTAACATCACTTTGTCAAAATAATGGTTGTATTACTCGATAATTTCCACAAGCACAAATTCCACTTTTTTATAGGCCAGAAAATTCTCTCACAAAATAATCCATCTTTTTCAGGCTTATTGGTTTTCTATAATGAATAGTATAGGGTTTTGTTACCTCCCCAACTATTTCTCCATGGCTAGGATTTTTTTTTGCCCAAGCACTTATTTGTTCAGGAGAAACAGATCCAATTCAAAGGTGTTGATGTTTATACTGGTCAATATACGGTCAAATATCCAAAAAATCACTTGGGACATAAACTTACCCTCAGTGGCTACATTTTTTTCTTGTTACAACTGCTATTCTTACTAGCTGAACATTGTGCTAGTACTACAATTGCATGTGATTGTGTCCGGCACTCTTTATGATTAAATTTCCATCTGTTGTCAGGTTACAAAGTCTGATGTGGATGCTGCTTTGAAGATTCTTAATTTTGCAATATATCATAAAGAGCTGACGGAAATGGATGAGCGTGAAGAGCGGGAAAGAGAACAGGAGAGGAAGCGTAAGGCTGATGGTGAAAACAATGGTCCTGACCGTGGCTCTAAAAGCAGAAGAGAGTAAGTGATTGTTAGTTTATACTATTTCCGTGGAAGCTAAATATACATGTCACAAGCATCTTTATATCTTAATTATAACTATGTTTTGCATGTGGAAATTTAATTTATCCCAATATTGAAGTTTTTCTTGTCTTGATTTCTTAAACTTATTTGGCCATTATTGAACTCCATCTGTTTTTCTTTTTACTAGCTCAACATCAGATGCCATGGAAGTAGACGATACCTCAGCAGCCCAACCAGCTGTTGGTCTCACTCCTGAAAGGTCTTTCAATTGCTAATCTGGAAATATTGTTTTCTTATATTGATATCTTTCTGTACCTGTTTCGGATGTAAACTATTTTCCATTAAAATGCAGAATTGAAGCATTCAATTCCCTATTTGGTCAGCATATGCGTGCCAATCGCTTGGATCAAATATCTATTGCAGACATAGAAGATGTGATCAATAGAGGAGCTGGTTCCACTTACAGCTCGGCAGATATATTGCTCCTGTTAGAGGTAAATCTTCTGGGCAGTTCCCAAATTGACTCCCTCCACATTTTTACTTCAGTAGTCTCTGGGAATATTATACAAATAATGTTCTCTTGTATCATACATATTCAATGAATAACCTGTTATACAGTTTCGCCTTTGTTTCTCTCTATCTCTGTCTTTATAATTTTGAATATCCAGTGGCATTTTCCAGACTTAATTCTAATTATACTGTCTTGTCTTTTTTGGAATTTCAGAAATTGCAAGAAGACAATAGATTGATGATAGTTGATGGAATGGTGCATATGGTATCATAAATGTAAGATCAGCACAAAATCTCAAACAAAGATTCTAAGAGGTAAGCAATCTTGTTATTTGGCTTTTATTTTCTGTGTGGAGACTTAACAACTGTCTTCATAATTTAATTGTTGAGTACATCGGTTACATTTCAAACTAATTGTTTTTCAGGGAGCGAGCTTTGCTGCTAGGGTAGTTAACAGTTTACATTGGTGGGAGACTTGACCAAGATTTTCAATGTTTAATTTGTTTACATGTTGCGGGAGATCTATCTGCTAATACATAACAAAGACATAACATATGCTATGGTGTTGACATATTTATAACTGTATTATTTGGGTCGTAAGGAACTTTGTAATCCCCCAAAATTTATTGGTTGTCTCTACTTGGCACTCTATCTTTATGCATTCTAGTGTTGCTAATCTCCATTTATTCATGTGAAAACCATACTTCTAGAATTGAACTTGTTTAGGTAATGTTTTATGAATTGAACCTAATTGCTTCGCTCATCTCTGAGGTTGTTCTACACTATTCTTGTCTCAGTGGATGGGCAGTGTGTTGCATAAATCAATTGCTTTAAAAAATGAGTTGGATACAGCAGACAATTTTTTTACAGATTAATAAACACTTTAAAAATGACTACTTGGGGCATTTATTTTTTATAATATTGTTTTTAAAATCATTTGAATATATAATTATTAAAACTGGCACATAACGTTAAAACACTCCAATTAATTGATTTGCACTAGGTAATTTATCCATCAGTAGTATTCTACTCTTGAACATCAGCATTCCCCGCAACAAATTAGGGATAAACCAGGAAATCCAGATAATATTAAAAGTGTAACATTCTACTCAATGCTCAGTTTGCTTGAGTAGGTAAATCATCAAGAAACTTAACTGGTTTGAATATTAACTATGTTTGTGTTTCTGAAACCTCAAAAGCTAACCATGTAAGTACATGTCTGAGGTATGCTGGTTAAAAGGATGTAGCATACGAAAAAGAATCAGATTTGCTGCGCCCATTCCTACAATCCTCCCAGCCAAAGTTGTTTTGAATTTAAGTTAAAATATACTTGAAGACAAAAAAAGATTGTGAATAAAGATGCAGAGATTTCTTTTACTGGAAAAAAATGCAGAGATTTAATATGCTAACTGCAGAGAATTCTTTTACTGGACAAATCATTGGGAAGAATTAATGTTCAAAACTTCAAATCACGTGTATACTAATTTTTAACCACATTTTATTATAATTGAACTTCAGATTGCATGACCCACTTTTTAAAAAAAAGTATTAAAAAAACACTTGGAAGTATTTCGAATAGTAATTATATTCCATGCATACACATATTATTCAGTTATAACAATATTATATAGAATTAATCTATATATCTTTAATTAAATCATATCACAGTTCCATTTCATTAAATTAACTTTTAAAATATATACTGAATATATTCATTAATCTATATTTACTTTTTGTATATAGATTAATTAAATACATATTCTATATACATTGTACCAAAAATATTTTTATAGACAATATGTTATAATTTTTGTATGGAGGAAATATACATTACGGTATCAATATATTATCTACACTACCTAAAAAAAACAATCTATATATGTAAAACAATTGTAACGTGTGTAGGTTGATCAATAACTTGGACGTTCTTCTTTAAAACCAAGATATATGTTTTCTTGCGAAGACTAGACATAATTGACTCTGTGGCCCAATGGATAAGGCGCTGGTCTACGAAACCAGAGATTCTGGGTTCGATCCCCAGCAGAGTCGAATTCTTTTTCTTCTAAAACGCAATGATTATTGGAATATCAAACCTATTTTGTACAAAGGACTTATCTCTCTGATGGCCGAGTTGATTGACTCTTCTTCGAGTCTATGAAAGAAGAGTAGGTTCAAATCCCACTTATACTTCATAGTTTATAAAATAATTTGCATTTACAAAAAAATTATAAAATAGTTTTATTTAATTTTCAATTATAATTTTTTTTTTGTTAATGTGTCAAAATTAATATTATATGCATCATTTAGTTATTTATTATATAAATTATTTATTTATAAAAGTATGTTAAAACTATATGAATAGCTGATAAAATTAATTAAATAATATTGCATTTTTTTAGAGTTTTTCCTTTTGATGATTTCAACAAAACTAAAAGTTAGAATAAGATCTGATTGAGTTGTGATAAAGTTTTCTTGCATTCTTTCCTTCATTTAAACGATCTTTATTTCTTATGTAGTCACTATAATGGTAGATCATGTTGGGATAACTTTGCTATCAACTAAGAGAGTGAGGTTAGCATTCCCATTTAGGCTATGGATTGACTTTCTAGAGTACAGTGAGAAACTCAAAGAAGGTTTTACATTTAACGAGTTTGACTTGATTTTTCCTTTTTGTGAGATAAAATCCCATTAATTTTCGAGCTTGTACTATAAATATACACTTATGGGATTGATCTGTATGTGTTGGGTTAGAATATCTTTGAAGACTTCATCTAGATGTTGAGTGTGGTTTGTCCTCTACGTCGATTTAATTATCATGTCGCTCATATAGACTTCAATCATGTTTTCTATTTACTTCTAAAAGACATTGTTCATCATCCACTAGTACGTAGCCCCAATGTTCTTGAGTATGAATGACAATACTTTGTAGAAATAATTTCTGAATTCAGTCATGAACATTGTCATCACCCACTGGTGCCTACCTGTTAGTGGCCTACCTTTGAATCTTACGTCAATTCATAGGCCCAACACAATAGACATGTTGGTTGAGGAGTTAAAGCGAAAGTTGAAACGATACTACCGCTCCGTACAATATGACGGATGATGCACTTGCATTTCATAAGGAACTCTCAAAAGAAAGTTGAACCAAATGCAAAAATATGCCACAAAAACTTTAGAAAATCATGATCTTACCACTTTTCACCTTGACAAAGTACCCAAAACTATAATTTCTTTAGGCAGTTCACTAATATGTCCTCGCTATGGCTAAGTCTGCCCCCAATTTCAATTTAAATTGAGATATCAATCTTACTTTACAAAAAGTTTATTACAAGAGAAGTATTCCAAGAGCAACCCTACAAGCCCTAATTGTTTGATATTGATTCAACCCCTTCTTTTTATTTTTGATCTTGACTAAGACCAAGACACAATAGATACAATTGATTCACCATCTCACGCTACTCTTTTGCGAGATACCAAATCTCTAAAGCTTTCACTCGACCGAATTCAATTACGAACTATTGACCACAAGAGCTTTCAATACGATCCACGTCACACGTAACTCCTTTGCAAGATACCAAAATTTCAAAGCTTTCACTTGGCCGAATCCTCTGTTGCGAAGTCTTGAATAAAACCCATAAATCTACCAAAGATATTAGAGGATAAACCCTAGGTTTTTCCGAATGAACCCCTCCCCCCATAATTCTCAATCCAATATTCTCGGTTACACAAACCTAATTGGAAGTTATCAAACCTCGTCTAGATGACACCCCAACAAAAAATGATTATGTGTAGTTTGTTAGTGTGTATGCATAGGTTGAAGGTTGAAGATGAAGAGCAATGGTGATAAGTGTTTATAGTTTTATCAAGTTGGAATGAAGTATGTATGGTGTATTTATAGTTGTGGAAATTTAATGTCAAAGATGGAAACTTCAGACTTAAAAAAGTTGAGAAAATTTGACTCACATAACAACATGTGCCAGCTTGAAAAGAGGATGTGCCGACACATAGAGTTAAAAACTTCAGTATGTGCCGACCTGAAATGAGTCATGTGCTGACACATTCAAAACAAAAGCTACAAGCTTTAATAATGTAGCACATGTGTCGGCCTGGAAATCGTATGTGCCGACACAGAGGTTAAACTTTAGTATGCGCCTTTATGAAATGAGTTAAGCGCCGACACATGCAAAGTAGAAGCTACATACTTTAATATTGAAGTACATGTTTCGGTCTGAAAATCGTATGTGCCGACACACGTAGCTGATTTTTGTGCAGAAACTAATTTTTCATGATTTTGGCCAATTTCAAAATTGATTTGAATGCTTCCTAACACCTCTAATGCAAGGGTGCACCAAACGACACACGCATGCCTTCTAATATACATAAATGCTAAGTTTTCCTAATTTTGACGTCATACAAAACATCTAATGATGAAGTTGCACTCATATACTCACCCTTTTTGATGATGACAACTTATGACGTTGCATTTCATGTCTTCATTGAAGGCTCCCCTTGAATTTGTGCTTCCCAACTTCATCTCGCACACACTTCTTCCCCTTTAAAAACATCAAAAATAAAGATAAAAAACCATGAGAAGTATTATAATTCAATGCAAATACCAATATATCACACATATTTGTTTTTGCAAAGAAGAACATACATTCACATATCCCCATATATACATAATGGTACAAGATTGATAAATAACCAGCACAACACATTACCAAATAAGTAATGAAATGCATGAATAATAATGAATGCTATGCAAGAGCAAACTTCTTGAGTTGCTTCTTTATCGTCACAATTACGTAACACATTACAGTAGAACTCCCGATGTTGAACATGTATGTGCCTAGCTTGACAAAAAATATATCACCACTAAATCCAAGATGAAAATATTGTCATAACATGTGACACAACTACAACAAGAACTAAATTTGCAAGATAACATATATACATTCTATTCATGTGCTAATGCAGGAAATACTAATAGCAAACATGCTTGTACACCAAGAACATACACTTCAAATGATAAAGAGTTAATACATGAAGTCACTATAAACATATAAGTTGAAAAATAAACAATGGTTGTCAATTGAAATTTTTAGAAATGAACATTCATGGGCTTTATCATTATGAATATATCAAGCATTTGGAACATAAACAACATGCAATAAGAAAAGTCTTACTTTGAAGGAGAAATTTGGAACAACATTACCTCAATTTTGATGGAAAGGAAAATGCACTCACATGATGTTAAATACTCAAACAAAGGTT